CAAGATATTAAGAAGCAAAGTGGGCCAGGAGAAGTTAGAGCAGAAATGTCTCTTACAATAGTGAGAGAACAGGAAAGAGAAGTGAGAAAAGCTGGGATCATACTTGAAGTTTCGGCTGGGCCGTAGACTTCTCTGCATTGTGATCCTTCTGGTTTGCCACATGTGCATGCTGTGAGGAAGCTGATGAGGTATGCACGGCACAATTATGTTCCATTTTTTGCCTTTAGGTACCGCCTCATTGGTCAGTCATCTGCTGAATGTATCATCTCAGGCAATACTGCCCACTGGAGTGCAAAGCCACCAATTTGTCAACGTGAGTTGAAATCTTTTCCCCCATTCAACCTATCATTTAATCCTAGCGTGGCCTTCCTAGAATTATAAAGAATGAATCTCATCCCTCTTGAAATGGTGTCCTTTTGATATTTGAAGAATGCAGTCATATCCCAGTCATATCCTTAAAACGGCTCACAGCATTCCCTTCCACCTTCATCTAGAAATGCTTTTTTCTTTCCCTTATCTTAAGGGGTAATTTATTTTAAACCAGTCTTGAGCTCATTTAAACAGCCCCCAATTTCCTCTTCCCAGTTTGAAGAGCATTTTCTTCAGTGAAGTCAACAAATACAAACTTGATGAAAGAAACCCTATATCCTCTCTGCAGGCTCTTAGTATCACATCAGCTATTCAAGCAATGCAGCCCTTTCTTCCTGTTTATCATTTGTCTAAACAGGTGCATGTCATCTTCCCTGTCAGTTGTTTGGAAGATGAGCTTCCTAGATTTTGGGGAGCAAAGAGGAAAGAGCAATTGCAAGCTAACAAGGAATATAAAATGGATATAATCCTGGGTTTGGTTATGGTTTGAGGAAATAAGCAATTCAGAACACAACTGATGGGAGGACAAGTGAACGCAAACTTTGTGGAAGGCCGGTCTGGCTGGGCACTGTTTTAATGTAGAGTAGGACACAGTATTCAATTTTTCCAAGATCAGACAAGACTGGGGAATTCAGGGTGGTATAGCTGTAGATCAGTATTCAGTTCTTTTTATTACTTCTGAATCTGCAAGTATTGTGTTTATTACATGTAATATTGTATACTTGTGCTTTGTGTAATATTGCATATTTTTGCTTTGTCTTTATTAGTTCTGCCAGAGCTTTTTGTTATTTAATAAAGATGCTATCCTGGGCAAGGTATGGTGGCTCATACTGTAATCCCAGCACTTTGGGAGGCCTAGGTGGACAGATCAATTGAGCTCAGGAATTCAAGACCAGCCTATACGACATGGTGAAACCCTGTCTCTACAAAAATACAAAGATCAAACAGGCATGGTGGCACATGCCTATAGTCAAAACTACTCAGGGGGTTGAGAGGTGGGAGGATTTCTTGAAGCAGAGAGATCAAGGCTGCAATGAGACATGATTGTGCCACTGCACTCCAGCCTGGGCAGCAGGGCAAGACCCTGTCTCAAAAAAAAAATGCTATGCTATATGCTTTATTATATTAATAACCAATAGAATAAAGCGAAATGCCTTCTATAGAGAGAGAGAACTAAATTAACAATGGTGAGATAACGTAGCTAAATTCTCATTTAGCAGGAGAAATATAAACATATACTATAGGCCAGGCACAGTGGCTCACACCTGTAATCCCAGCATATTGGGAGGCCGAGGCAGGCAGATCACTTGAGGTCAGGAGTTCGAGACTAGCCTGGCCAACATGGTGAAACCTGTCTCCACTAAAAGTACAAAAGTTAGCCCAATGTGGTGGAGCATGCCTATAATTCCAGCTAGTCAGGAGGCTGAGGCAGGGGAATCTCTTGAACCTGGAAGGCAGGGGTTGCAGTGAGCCAAGATCACGCCACTGCACTACAGCCTGGGTGACAGACTGAGACTCTGTTCTCAAAAAAAAAAAAAAAAAAAAGTGGACTATAATAATATATGGACACATTTAGTCAAGTAATGTTAACTGAGAAGAGCAGAACTCATAATATTATAAAACTGTAAGAATATGTCTATACATTAGCAAATATCAGATGAGAATAATATCGTGAATATTTACTTCTGGTAATTTTGGATTTTAAAAAAACTGTTAGCAAAATTTACACTAAACTATAATTTCAAGAAACCAGGCCAGGGGTGGTGGCTCTCACCTGTAATCCCAGCATTTTGAAAGGCTGAGGCAGGCAGATTGCTTGAGGCCAGGAGTTCAAGACTAGCCTGGCCAAGCCCTATCTCTAATAAAAATGCAAAAATTAATCAGACATGGTGGTGCATGGCTATAATCCAGCTACTCGGGAGACTGAGGTGGGAGGATTGTTTGACCGGGAAAGCAAAGGTTGCAGTGAGCCGTGATCCTGCCACAGCACTCAAGGCTCTGTCCCAAAGTTCTTGTTTTGGTTAACTTGCTGTCTGTTTTCCCAGAAATTCCTTGTCGGCCGCCCCCCACCATCGCCAATGGATATTTCACTAGCACCAACAGGGACATTTTTCACTATGGATCAGTGGTGACCTACCACTGCAATCCTGGAAGCAGAGGGAGAAATCTGTTTCAGCTCGTGGGTGAGCGCTCCATACACTGCACCAGCAATGAGGATCAAGAGGGCGTCTGGAGCGGCCCGGCCCCTCAGTGCATTATACCTAACAAATGCATGCCTCCAAATGTTGAAAATGGAATAATGGTATCTGACAACAGAAGTTTATTTTCCTTAAATGAATTTGTGGAGTTCAGGTGTCAGCCTGGCTTTGTCATGAAAGGTTCCCTCCGTGTGCAATGCCAGCCCCTGAACAAATGGAAGCCAGAGTTACCAAGCTGCTCCAGGGGTGAGTCTGACTGAGGCCTAGAAGGGCTCTGCAAATGACATGAGTTGTTGTTGGATCAGGAGATTAGTATTTGTTCAGAGGGAGGGATGTGTGGTGAGCAGTGTGGGAAAGCAAGTTTGGGAAAAAGAAGCATGAAATTAAGAATCAGGATGTCATGCACCTATGCATATGTATCTTCACTATGAAAAGCAAGACCTTAATTAGCCAAGAAAAAAGATTTTGGACCCACCTATTCATCAGTTATCAGGGCAAAGTACCAGCTGTACTATCTCTCAATTATATTGAAAAATCGTATGGACTTTCTTTATGGTCAGCTGTGCACAAAGCACTTTATATATTTTTTCTCATTTATTATTTATAATACTTTGAAATTGTACTGTTGCAATATCCATTTAAGAGTGAAGTCAGCTTGGCCTTTCAGAGGTTAGGTAAATTGGCCAAGTCACATGCTCTAGCTGAGACACCCAAGATTTTAAAAGGCAAGGGTCTCAGACCCCAGAGGCTGAATGCTATAGCTCTTGCCATACTTCTATCAGCATCCATTGGTGACCGAAAGAGACTGCCTTATGACAGAAAGCATGGCATCAGAATAGAGACAAAGACTTTAGAGTTTGTCTATAATGGCCTGCCTCCTACATTTTATTTTGTTATTTTATTTTATTAAAAACCTATTTATTAGGGTTGAGGTCCGTCTCTGTTGCCCAGGCTGATCAATGATACAGTGACACAGTCATGGCTCACTGCAGTCTCAAACTCCTGGGCTCAAGCCATCCACCTCCTACATTTTATCCCCAGGAATCTAAGAGTGAAGGTAACTTGCTCGAAGCCAGTTAAATAACGATTTTTAAATTCATCTTGAATGAGGTACAGATTAGGTTGATGTTAAGTGGGTTCTGATGCCCTAAGCATGGACGAACAGGACTGTAAATAAAGGCAGACGTTGAGTCAAACACTCTCCAAATAATATGTCCTCTCATGACAAAGGGCTGGCTTATTTAAGGGCTTTTGTTTTTGGTAGCTCATCTTGTCTACTGGTGTCACAATAGCTGGTTTAGCAGTGGAGTGGGAGGTGTAATGGTTGACACATAGGGACAGAGAAGAAGCTTACAGTTCTTCTACCAACCCGTGTTAGCCTTGTGCAACCACTGAGCTGGGAAGATGAACAGATAAAAACATACAAAGTTGGATGTATTGAGGTAGGAGATGGGCAGGGCTTGTCTTGTGTTCACAATCCTGCTGACCAAAACAGGATCTGGCTTAGACAGGATGCAGTGAAAAATCAGCAGGAACCAGCTGATGGCAACAAAAGCAATCCCTAGCAGGAACCAGCAGATGGCGATGAAAGCAATCCCCAGCTGCCCTCACGTTCCCATCAGCACCATGACAGTTTACAAATGCCATGGCAATGACCTGGAAGTTACCGCCCCTTTCCTGGAAAGTTCTAAATAACTCACCCTTAATTTGCATTGATCACTCCTTAATTTACATGTAATTGAAGCAGGTTTACAGGAGTATGAATACAGTTGCCTGCTAGGAGCCTGTATGTTGCTGACTCTGGTCACACTGCCTGTGAGTTAGCCGTGCTCTGCAAGGGGCAGTCTCTTTCACCAAAAGATTTCTATCTAGCACCACTGGCTCATCTTTGAAATCTTTCCTGGGTGAGGCAAGAATCCTTCCAGAATAAGCCCCAATTTGGGGGCTTGCCTGTCCTGAAACAGTATGACTGTACTTTAGTCATAGGTGTGCAATCAGAGAAATGGGGGGGAAAGTCTGTAAAACAGGCTTGGACTCAGGTGACAGTCTCATTACCTGAATAACGGGTGAAAACTGGGGTTGCCTTCCTAGGAAGCATGTAGATGGAGAATCCACCAATACTAACAACTCCACACCAGATAACAAGAGCTGGGAGAAAAAACCTCATGCCCTGTAGATTTACAAGTGGATTTGAGGTCTTGTGCTAGGGAGAATTGGGTTCTATTTCTCTACCTTTGACTAGTTATAAGGGCTTCAGCAAGCATAAGCTATAGCAAAGGAAATTCCCCCATAACTAACAAGTATTCTGGAACTGTCCTTTCCACAGTGTGTCAGCCACCTCCAGAAATTCTGCATGGTGAGCATACCCAAAGCAATCAGGTCAACTTTTCACCTGGGCAGGAAGTATTCTACAGCTGTGAGCCCGGCTATGACCTCAGAGGGGCTGCTTCTCTGCGCTGCACACCTCAGGGAGATTGGAGCCCTGAAGCCCCCAGATGTGCAGGTGCCTTGACTCTCTGGCTTCTAGATTGCTCTCTGTAACCCTCACATGGAGGTCTTACTCCTATTTTTTTTCATTCTAGTGAAATCCTGTGATGACTTCTTGGATCAACTCCCTCATGGCCATGTGCTGCTTCCACTTAATCTCCAGCTTGGGGCAAAAGTGTCCTTTATTTGTGTTGAAGGGTGAGTGTGACCCAGAATTAAGATCAGCGACTCAGCTCTGGAGAGTGACTCTTGAGCTCAAGGATCAATCCAAAAAGAGGGCTGACCTAGGAAAATAAGAACACAGGGAGATTAACTTCTGGAAGTGTGATTTTAAAAAAAGGTAGGGGCTAAGTGGCAGTACTATCGGGAGATAAAGAGATAAAGAAAAAATGGTGCATACAACTCAGTGTCAAGTACGAACAGAAATACAGCCGGCAGTCCAGAAAAGGAGATTGACCTAGTGCAAAGAAGTACTGGAGGAGAATAACATCTGAAACAATGACTGGGAAGTGCAGTATGAACCAGATGGATCCATGAACAGAGGTTTAAAAAGGAAAAAGCTCAACTTATTTGATTTCTCACTGATAGAGGCTCAGAAATCAAATCATTTTGGAAAACATGCAGCTTCCAGTGAGGGACAAAGCAGAAACAACAACAGAAATACAACAGATCTTGGGAAAAAAAGTATATATATATACATATATATATATATATATATGTGTGTGTGTGTATGTGTATGTGTGTGTGTATATATATGGGATGTTAGATGTATGAACAAATAATAAATTGCATACATGAAGAGATAAATATTCTAAGGATTTGTTAAGAAAAGTTTGTCATATAACAGAAAGTTGTGTATAAGATAAATAACATGCAAAGATTATTTCACAAAACTTTTAAACAAATAAATATTGGAATTTGTAGTAAGAATGAAAGAATAAGTAAAAATATTTTAAAATCCAATTACAATACGATTGACAGCTTTGCCAGCTGTTACTGCTTTGTCCTCACTGAAAGCTACGCTTTCTCCAACATGATTTGTCTTCTGAGCCTGTCAGTGAGAAACCAAGTGAACTGAGTGTTTTTACCTGTGCTTTAGCTGAGCAGTGAAATGTTAATTCAGTTAGGAATTCTCAGGGAGGAGGCTGAGATCTGTCAATGAAGAGAAGAGAGAAATGGTGCATTCATCCAGACGCTACTGCTTTGTTCTTTAGGTTTCGCTTGAAGGGCAGTTCCGTTAGTCATTGTGTCTTGGTTGGAATAAGAAGCCTTTGGAGTAACAGTGTTCCTGTGTGTGAACGTGAGTAGATTAAATACTTCTTCAGTCTGGATCTTTCTCTTTGATTTTTCTGAATGTGGTTTGCCCCATGAGATGATCTATTGTTTGTCCCGCTATTTATGTCCATTTTTAATAGGAATTGTTTTTTGTTGGAATAGATACAAGCAATGTTTTGGGGGAAAATATACCTAAGCATCATGTGGTTTTGGGTAACATTCTATAAATATTGATGAGGAGAGTCTGTGCTACAGATAGAGAGAAATTCTTCATAGAAATAATGTACAGCAAGATGCTATGCTAAATTTTTCTCCTCTTTCCTGTCAGAAGTAATAGTCACACTTCAACTTTTCAGTTCTTCCCTCAGTTATCCATTTAGTCATCTACTCATTCTTTCAACACAAAATTATTTGAGCACCTATTAGTGCCAAGCAATCTTCTGGGAACTGGGAATGTGCCTAAAAACAAGACAGATAAGTCCATGTTTATATTTTTGTGCAAGAATAAAGACAAAATAAAACAAAAACATGAATAGAAATGTTCAAACAATACTAAGTGTTATTAAGAAAATGCTCTTAATTGATTCAGTGCTCTCAGTTGAGAAAGTAGCTGAGGACCCCAAAGGGAAGTGTACCTCTACTTGGTGTAGCTGAGGGTTCAAACTGGAAGGCTTTTGCAGCAATTTAATCAGAGATGTTGGCCCAGGATAGCCGTTGGGAAAGGTGATGATGAGAAGTGATCAAATTCTGGATATATTTTCAAGGTGCAGATGACAGGATTTGCTGATGGTTTGCTTATGTGAGAGAAAGAGAAGAATCATAGACAATTTCCAGGTTTTTGGCCAGATCGCTGAGGGGGTAGAATTTCCCTTAGCTGAAATGCAGGGGACTGCATGAAGTATGGGAATGGGGGAAATCAAAAGTTAAGCTTAGAACATAAGTTTTGTGTTCCTCTTAATATCCAGATGGGTATCTTGGAGAGTCCCAGGCTGCCCATAAGTAGGTAAAAGCCATCATTGTATCTGCTATGCTTAAAATCAGGACTGAAAGAGATCCTCACCTAGGGAGTGAGTGCTTCTCAAGAACAGATGCTTGGACTGAGCCTGGGTGTCCAGGATTAAAAGTTGAAAAGGTGAGAAGGAATTATGATGAAGGGGATTATGATGAGGCAGCCACTGCAGTAAAAGAAAACACAGGAGGGTGAGGTGCCCTGGAAGCCAAGTGGGGAAATTCTGTTAAGGAGATTAGACTAACCAACTCTGTCAAATGCTATAGAAAGGTCAAATTCGGTGAGCACAGAAAACTGATCTTTGGGTTTAGCAACTTGGAGGTAACAAGTAGCAGTTTCAGTAGAGTGCTGGCAAACACTGATTGGAATGAATTCTTGGACGAATGCACGGGAGGAATTGTAACAGATCACACACAATATTTTAGAGGCGTTTTCATGTAAAGAGAGTAGAAGTAGGACTATAGCTGGAGGAAGAAATGGCAGCAAGGGGGTTGCTTTTTATTTTTAAGAGGGCAGAAGATACTGTGTGAAAAACAGAAACACAATTATGTCCAATCTGTTCATTCATTTCCTTCTTCACTAAATCAATCAGCGATATTGCTTCCCTTTCTAAGCATAGCTATTAAAAATACATGTTTACAATAGAATTTTGCTCAAATGAACACTTTGCTTCAAATTATTTCAATGTCTTGTACTGATTTATATGATGAAACATGATAGTTTCATCTTGCATAGGTGGAAGTCAGCTGTCTGACAAACAGGAAGTCAACTATTTCCCTGAAATAGTTAAGAAGTATGAAAGAAAAAAAAAAAGAGAAAATACCCTCATGAAGCCAACATATACCTGATATCACTGATAGAGTGTAAACATTGGTTAAGCTATTTCAGCCTTTGATTAGTTTATCTATAATCTTTTAAGCTGTAGTATCCTTTTCCCAAATTCAAAGCAAATTAGAAAGGGGAAAGAGTGTCTCCAAATAGAGGCATTCCAAAGAATAAATGTGTTTCTTTAACAACAACAAAAAAATTCCTTTAAAAACCAATGAGTATCTCAAAAAAGCCTAACATTTTTGAGCCTTTTGAAACACATACAAGAGTACACAATATATTTTATTTCATTATGACAGCATTACTATAATCTTTCATATTTATTTTGAAAATCATTGCCAGACATCATAAAGAAAAATTAAATCACTGATATACAAATAGTAAATGCATAATATATTTTAGAATGATGTCTCCAGGATGCAGATTCTTGATGTCAAAGATCATATTTATCTTAGGCTTAAAACGGTACTTGACATACAGCAGGTACTCAAAAAATGCTTACTGAATTAATGGATGATTTCCCTTTAATGTGGCTATGAAGATTTTTATTTACTTTAAAGGAATACACTATTTATTATTCAGAAATCTTAACTATCTAAAAAATTTAGGATGCTTAATTTGGGGAAGACTTTTGTAATAAACATTGATGTAGTTGTCATTTCATTTAGCTCCATCTTAGCAGAGGCCTAATACATTTATTATGCAGTTTCTACTTTCCTTAAGAAAAAAGTACACTTAATTAGCAACACAGTCACTGTATGACAACTGTGAAATCACCTTGGATTCGAATTTAAAATTTTAAATGGAATTGAGAGCTCTTGTTTTCTTTCTAGAAATATTTTGTCCAAATCCTCCAGCTATCCTTAATGGGAGACACACAGAAACTCCCCTTGGAGATATTCCCTATGGAAAAGAAGTATCTTACACATGCGACCCCCACCCAGACAGAGGGATGACCTTCAACCTCATTGGGGAGAGCACCATCCGCTGCACAAGTGACCCTCAAGGGAATGGGGTTTGGAGCAGCCCCCCTCCTCGCTGTGAACTTTCTGTTCCTACTGGTCAGTATCTGCTTCCACATATACTAAATGGGTTCAGAATATCTGGACCCAATCCTTCATGTCTCTATAATAAGAGTATGGTATCTGTTTGTGAGATTAACTTTGTCATAAGTGGAAATGTCAAAATGACAAACTGTAGCTAAAACAGATGGGTTTCAGCAGTGCCAAGGTGTGTTTGGATTGATAAGATGAGCAGAACTCTTCTTGCTGGTGGAGTGCAGAAGGGTGGGGTAAGGGGACTGAAGGGAGTGGTGGAGGGAAGGCAGCAAGACACAGTTAGGAAGAAAAATGTATTCACCGGAGAGAACACGAAAAAAACTGCCTATGAACAATAGCCAATATC